TCGGTAGGTGTACTATCATTCCTTAGGGCTTGACATTTTCTATTTGCTTTTTCACTTTCCTCTGCAATTGGTATGTGTGAGGTTTGAAGTTTGTTTAGAGAACTTTTGGAACACAAACTTCATAAAAGCACCAATTTCATCAACCACAACTCGCATACCATAATTTTGCTCTATTGTTTTTTGAACAACATTTCCTGTTGAAACTCATTCCGTATCATGTGTGGAATTTGCTCAGGGCCTCACCTTGTTTTAAAATGCATCAGTTTGTAACTTTGAATTCAAAATGCATTTCAAAAACCACATTCTGCATTTGTCTTCAAATTTTAATGTGTGTGCACCTTTTGAAAAAATGAATGGTACCATCACGTTCCTCTTGAAAAAACAAGCAAGTTTGACTTAAATTTCATGAAATTGATCAAGAATTGAAAGAGTTATGATCAAATCGTTTTTTAATGTTTCACTTGAAATTGCCTTGGTTTGCCATGCCCAGCATGCGCGCCATTTTAGGTACATATGCAACTGGGGTGGCTTGATACAATGGATGTATCGCCACCCAAGTGGTTGATGCATTGCCTTTAAGTATCGTGTAATGCTCAATGTACCAGGTTCGACCATCAGCGAGGGCACTTTTTATTAAATTTTGTGATTTTTTATGATTTTACTATTTTTACTTCTTTTTCCCTCACTTGTCACGTGTGTGAAAATGGTTGGGATGATCTTGTTTTGAGCCTATGACCCCAAAGTCTTGAGTTCAAACCTTGGGTGAGGCATTTCTTAATTTTTTAGCACTAGTTCATTTAATTTTATTTAAATTTTAAATATTAAAATATTAAAATAAAACTGAAGACATTTTAGTAAATGTAATAATTTTTTCAATATCAAAGTTCAGATTCCCTCCCCTCCCCTCTAAATCCCCCGATTTGGGGGACGCAAAAAATGTGTTTTGGAGGGGTTTTGCTCCCCTCCAGTCCCCTTATAAAATGTGAACCAAACACATTTAATTAGAAATATTCCCTCCCCACCCCTCATAAAATTTGAACCAAACACATTTAGAGCATAATTATCGATAGATGTAAACCATTTCTACACATATTCCAAAGTCATTATGTCAGAATTAAATGGATATTTGAGAAAAAAAAACGTTCTTACATTTGCATACGTTATCACATTTGAGAACGTTTCTTTCCTGTACTTTCCTATTCAATTAATATTAAAATATTATATTTCAAAGGTAGGTCAATAATTATATGAACATTTATTTTGGAAATTGGTGGGACCCATTTTAGAGTTTTTAATGAGTTGTATGGATATTTGAAATATGTAGTTGAGTTGTTTAGAAAATATAGAAGTGTAATATAATATAAAAAATTATGTGAGTCCCGTTTAAAGAACCAAAATGTGGTTGATGAGTGTGGATGCTCTTAGTTAGAAATATTCCCTCGCCCCCCCTCATAAAATTTGAACCGAACACATTTAATTAGAAACATTCTATCCCATCCCCTCCATCTATCTCAAACCAAACACACCCTTAGGTTTTATATACAATACCAACAACTAACCGACTCCCACTTCAGGTTTTGTGCTTCTTTAATGTTAATGTTTCAAAAACAATTGGTCACCAATTTAGGTTTAGTAGTTTTTTAATGTTTTAAAAAGTCTAGCCACCACTAAAACACACAATTCCGTTATTGATTGCGTACAACTATAACCGATATATCAAAATGCACCGATATATAGCAAATAACAAATTTGACATATCATATCGAATATTCAAATTCTGATACATAGTAGCGGTAAAACAACAATATACCGGTTTTTTAACAACGAATGTTAAATATATGTGTGATTATGTTTAAAACAGTTTTAGGTTTGAGAATCAACTCGACTAAAATGTGAACTTATTCTAGCTGAGACATAAACCAATAGTTGGAAGGAGCTCTTGGTTACAGTTGCAGAAAAGTTAATTTGCATATGAATAATTTTATGTATGTCTTTCATGTGCACAACAGATCTGTTTCTGCATGTGAATGTGTGATTTCAAAGGTCTTAAGAAATAAAATAGGGGAGAAGTATAGGAAGAAATACACAAAGGTAGTGTACAACATGCATTGTTGTTATTCGGCGCTTGCATGGATGTCAAAGTCAAAGTAATAATTCCTATGGATTATGTTCTTGTTTGCAAGAATAAGTGACCTTTATAGAGCTCACTAGATAAGGTACAACCTAATTAGAGGATTTTTTGTATAGATGCCAGTAACATAAACATAGTAGAGATGTGCCTTTCTTGTTCTACATTTTGCATTTATCAAATTCTCTTAAGAGATGTCTTATCCTTTTTTTTTGTGCTTTCATTTGATTGCCCAATAATTGTTCTTACATTTTATTTGTCCTTTTTTAGGTTTAGGAGGTTGAAACTACCCAAGATGCCAAGCTATTGTTGTATATAAAAAATTTATAAGGAGATAGGAGAGAAATACCTCTGACAAGGACAAGAAATCTTCCTAAGTATAACATCTAAAACAAGAAAATAAAGGAAATTACTGAGTTGTGAAGTGAGAATAAAGAGCATGACCCGAAAATTCTGAGAGGTGTTCATACAACAATTTTTTTAAAAGTGAAATCATGAGTTATCAAGTTTGTGATTACCTGCTCTCCTCTTCCATAAAGTTAACTCATACAGTTAAACACTAGAACTTCACAAGTATGCAAATGAGATGAATTTCTCAGGTGTTTGTGATTACTTCCTCCCCTACCCTGTAACTTCACTCAAATAGTTAACACAAGAACTTCACAGGCATGCACATGAGAGATGACTTTAATAGCAAAATTAGTATCTTAACCTGACAATTCTGATGACCACTTGCATTTAATTATCCTTTTCCACAGAGAATAATATCTCAAATACGACCACCTGACCACTAGAGAGAAGTTTAAAGTCACTGGACTAATAGGATAATGCTCCAAACCCCACTTAAACTTCTCAATCTTGTCCATGGCCCTATAGATTTACCAGATCAAAACTTCTATATATTTTCCTTCTATTAAATGGTGTATATTACAAAAATACATGTCCAAAATATTTTAACGTTCAATTAGAATTTGATGTGTCTAAAAATACATCTTCGAAATCTAAAAACATATATGTATTTTAGCATAATACTAAAAAACATAAAGGCCGCATTAAAAAATTCTCAAATTAAAATGGATGGAAAAATGCTCATTAGTTAGATTTAGAATTACATTTCTAGTATTCCGCATTGAAAAAGAGAATGGATGAGAATGAAAATGACTACTATAAAAAAATTAGCACTACAATAGCGTTTGAGGGAAGTGAAATTATACAAGTGTGAAAGAGAAAAACATTTGAGCATAACTCAATATCGCACTTAGTTTGAAACACTCACAACCACTTTCAACAAATCTTACAAGAAACGTAAAACACTCTTAGAAGCATATCAAAAGTAAAGATGAATTCGAGAGACAGACTCATATGCAATGCTTCATAGCTGATGTTCATGTGTATATTGGTTATGATTTGTTTGGGAGTTGATTTTTCTGAAAGATTTTGAAGGAAAAGACTTTAAAGATTTGCATCTATATCTTAAAATGCGTTTAATATTTTTAAAAAATTTTAAAAATAATATACTACATTAACCTATAAAATCATATTGTCATTTAAATTTTTTTTAAATATCAAACACATTTCAAAATAATAGCAATATTCCAAAATCTTCTAAAAATTAACTCCCAAATAGACACTTAGGAAAGGACTTTATCTAAATTGAACCATTGTACTGAGCCAATTTCATTGGACATTTGATCAACTTAAGTAAATAGAAAATGAAGTAAATTGTTAAATCCATCTTTGAAATTGTAAATATAAGTCAAGATTGCCTCTTAATTGTGTCAATTAAGATATATCTTTTAAATTTGTAAGGTGTTAGTCAAAGTATGTTGGAAAAAAATTACAAGTGTGAGTAATGTGAATAACAATCTTACATTAGATAGAAATGTGATAACTTGAGCATTTATAAGTGAGAGAACCCACTCATAAAGGTGGTGTTACTCTAAGAAAGATGTCCCACCGTTTAGAATGCTCCTCGCTCGACCTCCCGATTGTTGCGCTAACAAAATAGTCATCCATTCACTTTTATTGAAAATATGACTCTTCATGTGGATTCGACATTAATCTCAAATCATAAAGTCTAACTTGCTTATAAAATTTAGGAATCTCAGACTAATTTTCTAGTAATTAGTTCATATATAATTGCAATTTCTGACAAATTTATCACCAAGGTGTGTCACCGTGACTTTGGCCAAAACATTTTATAACTTAAAACAAAATTATCGTAACTTTATCAAATGCATTGAACCAATTGTCAAAACCAAATAGAATTGAGTTAGCAGGTGCAAGTTGGTCAAAACATGTTTCCCAGCTCCTTAATCAATAAATGTTGGTTTCCTTGACACTCATTCCAACTAAATGTGAAATATAACAGAGATATGTGATAGTTGAAAGGATGGGAGATTCCGAGTTAAGAGGGTAGGCCTTAACTAAATCCCAGCAACAAACAAATGTCTGAAGTGACAAACAAAGATATTGAGAGAGGGTAAGATATCACTGAGATATAGAAGCCAAACGGTAAGATGTCAAAACCAGTCTTTATTGTTAAGGACAAGACATAAGTTGACGATGTAGCTGTATGGTTTCATTTGGCCTGAGACATGCACGTTAACAAAACTTATCCGGAAAAGGAGAATAGACCTCTTTCACTATAATCATATCATGAGAAAGAAGAGATAAAAAGAAATAGAGAGATGGAGAGAACAAACCAACATAACCACTAGAGCTGTGGGCGCGTAGGTCAAAACATGTCTACCAGCTCCTTAATCAATAATTGAATCCACCTTATTTATTTTCTCTCTCCCTCCATCACTTCCTTCTGACACACTTTCCATGCTCTTCTATATAATGATTGAAGCAATCCACAACTTCCCCTATGGGTAGCAAACCTGATTTTGATCACATGATGAGTTCTTCCATCTTTCTTCTGTACTGCCTTCTCACATTCTCTTTGTATTCCATCTCCCAAAACACAAGCCACAGTTATTCTCTAGACTTTACACCATCGAGGAAATTAAGCATGTCATCCCCTGGCCATGACCACAAATTTCATGAAACTCAGGTATGTTTGTCCCCAATTAATCTGTTAAAAGAATTAAAAGTGAAAAGATAAACAGTAAGATGCAACTTACTATAAAGAAAGTTTCCTCTGCAATTCTTTTTCATCTCCTTAGTGCCTTCATATATCTTGGATTCGAAGCACACAATTAGTCATGGATCTCGAACACTATATAAAGATTGAATAACTCATTCTGTATTTTAAAGCTGATCTAGTAAAGTCAGAATAGGACTCGTATGATCTTCATTCATCAATAAATAATCCTTTCAATGTGTGTTTTCCTTTACTAAAGGAAATTGAGGTCCACCATGCCTCCCTTTCCTTATTGTTTCCATTTCTTAACATGGGTGTATAAAATGCAGGTAGCAGATGAGAGAATGGAAAGTGCCCCTACCAATGCAGATTTCACAGCACTAGAAATTACCAGCAACAGTTACAGTCCTCATGATCTTATCTATCATACAGATTACCATGGGGTAACTACTCATCCAACTCCTAAACATCCAAAACCATAGGCTGCAGTTTTAATTTTGATTTGTAAAAGATATATGCAGACATGTATTCTAGTTCTTATCAATATATAAATGTAATGCACTTTGTGTATGGGGAGAGAAAAAAGTTATTATATTTGGAACTGATTACATGATTCATTTTTCTTATCTAGTTTTCCAAATACACCGGGACATAGCTTGTAAGTACTAATATATAGTTCACTGAAACTTACAAAAACTGATGAAATGGTCGCTAAGAGGCTACTGATGTCTCAAGCATTCCACTAGGTGAATATGATTCAGAAGTTCCTCGCCAGAGCAGGGGAAATTGAAATAAAATAAAACAGTAGTATTATAATCTATCATGAAGTGAAATCATTCCATTGATATATTGCCTTCTTGTCTTTTTAAACCTCTGAAGAAGCATCCTGTGACTAGTTACAATATCGTCAAATACCACCTCACTAGAAAACATAGACTTCACTTTCAGAAAAGCAGCCTCTAACTCGTCCTTGTGATTGGCACACAACAGGCGTAGATCATCAATAATGAAAGATCTATCCGTGTATCCATTGTTGGCCTCTTTTTCCATACTAAGAACCCAAAGCCATCTGATTTGCGCAAATGGATCTTTATTTTTCTGAATTGCAACCTCTACATTGCTCAGCACTTCTGAGAATTTACATTCATTATGTATTTTATCAATCAAGTCGAGAAAAGTTTTTCTCTGTTTTTGGGTAAGTCTATTATAAACATCCGACGGCAAGGAAAACGCAGCAGTCAAGCATGCTTTCCGGAAATTAGGATCGGTAGTGCTAATAATCCCAATGGCAACATGTAAAAGATTCACAGAGACGAGAACAAGTTTTTGAGACAGAGAGTTAATGGCATCACAACATCGGCTTTTCCAGTTTTCACTCCAGCAATGAAGAGCAAAATGAACTACTCCTTCCCACCTGCATTTAGAGTGATACAGAATGAGCGAAACCCGCATATCTAAATCACCAGAGCGGTAAAAGTTTTTTTGAAGATACGGTATAATATTGTGAACCCAAGGAGCAAGTACAAGTGATGCAGTTGTTGCATTAATGAAGTGTATGTCACTAAAGTACTAATAGTCTCCTCCTACATCACCTCACTCATTTGCAAGTACAATTATCAATTTTAATTCAAACATAATATACATATAGCAATCAAATAAAGTCGAAGGAAAAGAAAACTCAAACAGGAAAATAAAATTTATAAATTTAAAGGAAGACCTAATGGTTAAACAATCTTTCCAAAAAAAAAAAAGAAACCTAGTCAGAACATATCTCTCATAACCAAACATAGTAAGTCCAAGTTCCACTCTCTTTATGCGGGCTTGAGGACAAACCAACAGGAAGATGAAAGGTTGATAATATCATATACATCTTTATCAACAGAATAATAATTGAGGTAGATTAAATACTATAAAAACTGGTCCATGAATCAGCTTTCCATAGACATGGGTCTCTGAAAGCTTGGCCCAATGTCTTGCAGACAGACTTGTCTAATTTTAAATGATTGATTTTAGTGTGGGTCACTCCACATGTATTGTTACAGTTCTCTGATTCAAAAACATATATCAAATGATGATTTTTATCAGTCGATATAATCCAATAAAAAATAGATTGAAATAAAGAAAAAAAATAAAAAATAAAAAAAATAAAAGTATTCATAATTCTTGGAATCAATGGAAAATCTGAGAAATAATTACTAAGGAATGAGAGGTCTGCCCATGACTATGGCCATTCTACAAAGACTGATGGACCTAATAATGCCAATTAGATCAAGAAGACCCGCTTTGACTGGATAGGAACGAAAACACCAGGATGGAACAATTAGTTTAACATAAGCATGTTTGCCAACGATAGTGGACTAGTAGGATTGTCAACCGAGCAACGTAGAATTTTGTTTTTGTTTTAAGAACATTTCTTATTTTTACATTGAGAAGAAAATTAGAGAATGGTAGTACATGAGGACTTGTGAAGTCACATGTTATGAGAATTAAAATATGAATTAACTGCTCTCATATAGGCATATAATACACACATTATAGTCGACAGGACGCAGATGTGTGAGATGTACCATTCTCCTAGCTTCTATTGCCACCTCAGCATTACTAATCAAAAGTTAGTTATAACTGGGTGTAGGTTAGGGCACACAAGGGTGTAATATTAGGAATGCTATATAAATCTCTAATCCTCATTTTAACAGATTCGGCTTTCTAATAACTAAAAATTCGAAGAATGAAATACTTTTCCCTCTATTGTCTCTTTTCTTACATGCTATTATAGAGCCTCAAGATCAATGGCATCTGAAACTTCTTCCACCATATCACCGCCCTCGCTGATGTGTAAGTGTAATCAGTTGCGTCTTCTACTGTCTCTGATCTTCCCAAAGTCACATTTCAACTCAATTTATAAGAAATTGGATGAGAAAGCTTCCTCACGTGACATCAATAAGCCAAGTCTGTGATCAACATGCAGAGTCTGTAATCCTTCCACATTCTCCCTGAGATTCCTCCTCAATTCCTTTTGCAGATCAATCGGAAAGAATTGATAATCATGCCTATTGTCCTTGGATCAAACAAGATTAATGGTTACTTTTGTGGCTACAATCCACGTTATATGGGTCTATCGTGGCACGATTTGTTGGTTGCATTTCCATTCATTGACTCTGGGATTGTAATTTTCAAATTTTGATTTATATTTGTGCAAAGCAACTTATGTGAGAATTGCACGCAACAACGTTCTCTGATGGACCTATGGAGGATTATCTCATTCGCATCGAGTATTTAATTACTCTCTAGCCTCAATAGGTGATCATCTCCCTGTTTCGCATTCGTCCAGGATTACTACAGGACTTCAGGCTTGTCCAACCCAAAAGGTTCCTAACAGAAAATATACCAAATGAATTCCCTCTTACTATTTGTGCTCTTATATAACTACCTTTTCTTAGACATGGCAACGGGGCGAGTTGGGAACGGTTTTTAACTCCCCCAAACCCAAACTTGAATCCCAAACCCAAACTCAAATCCCCAAACAATTCTCGTTCTCCGCCCCAAACCCAAACGGGAGTGGAGAATTAAAATCCAAATCCGCCCCAAACCCAAACGGGAGTGGAGAATTAAAATCCAAATCCGCCCCAAACGGATTCGGATTGGATTCAGGTTCAGGTATCCCCGTCCCGCCACCATCTATTTAATGAAATCAATTATTTTAATAGAAATACTTATTTTTTTCCCAAATCAAATTACATTACAAATAATAAAATAAAACAATCTAAAAAAATTCCATACACATTTCAAATATTTTAAATAATAAATACATATCAAAATATTGACCATATATTTAATATTCTAAATTATCAAAAATAAACAATTATATACATAATGAAATAAATTGGACGGGTTCGGGGCCGAGTTCGGGTGGATACTAGTGTCTCCATTACCCGACCCGTCTCCATATGTTATAATCGGAGAAAACCCAAACCCAATCAAAGGGATTTTCCCCGTCAACTTTGGGACAGGTTCGGATGGATACTTGCAAATACGGGTTATGTTGTCATGCCTACCCTTTCCTTATAACATAAAGGGTTATAACCAATTCTCTATTCAACCTCCTCATTGGGCCAAGGCCCAAATCCAGTATCCTATCAATTTTTCTTCTATTTTCTCTCTTTTACGGCAACAAGCTTCACCAGTGAGCCATTTTTTCCCTAGCATATAAACATACTAGCCCCTAAATCAGAAAAAGGTAGGATTTTGTAATATCAATTAAATCAAATTAATCTCCATCGTAGCAAATAACACTTATGGAGAAAAAAATGCAAAGCATTGACCAGAGAAAACAGAAAATCAATTGCACCAAATAAGGGAAACTACTATGTTAAAGAAACTCCAAGACTAAGATTTACCAATTTAGTAGAAATGATTTCAAAAGGATTTTTTATATCCATATTTTATCCATCCAAGTCCTACGTTGGTTTCATGATTTTCTATTTTGAAAGTAATTCCAGAACAAATTCGAGCATTCATGAAATTCAAAAATCATCAGAGCAACAAAACCCCCATTTTCTCATAAGCCACCGACAATACAATGGTTTGGCATCCACTTCCCATGGAAAACATGCCCTGACAACAGACCACTTAATTCAAGCACCATCTGCTGGCCAAAGATAGGCTTCCTTTCTCCGTGGACCATATCTAATTTACTACACTAAATATCTCTGGTAGCCTATTGCACACCAAATGCGAAAACTTTTATACTATAAAACCATAATTCATCATTTTGCAATTAAAAGCATTATGCTTTAATGCAACATGAAATGAAACAACCCCGATAAAAGGAGATGGTTGTGTTAGGCAGTTGACAGTCAACGTAAACCTTTTATCGAATCTCTATGACATGAATCGATTACGAAATAATGTAAATGCTAGGTCATTGCCTGTAAGCAACGCGTTGTATGGCTCGAGTACAGTGTCAAAAGAGTAAGGGTTGTTGCATCACCGCCTGTATACAATAAAAAAATAAAGGTTCCCACATTTTCGTGAACGGGTGTAGGTAAAGAAGTTATTTCATGAGAGCAGGATTCGTTTTGAATCATGGAATATAGACACATTTACCGGTAAATCTATGGAAATAATGGACACTATAGTTAGGAGGAAGATCAATTTTATGTGGCTACAAGAAACTAAATGGGCAGGTGAAAAAGCAAAAGAATTAGACAACTCGAAATTTAAGCTTTGGAACACCGGAAAATTAGATCGAGAAATGGGATGGGAATTATTGTGGACAAAGAGTGGAAGAAAGATACTGTAGATGTGAGATCTAGAAATGGGATGGAAATTATTGTGGACAGGGAGTGGAAGAAAGATACTGTGGATGTGAAAATAGTAGGAGATCGAATCATAACCTAAAATTTGTAGTGGAGCAGGACTCTTTTAATGTTATTAGTGCTTACGCATCTCAGGTTGGGTTAGCATAACACGTTAAGATAAA